CTTTCTGCACAGCACATGTCTTGTTTAATGCCACTAGTGTTTTGATAAATGCTGTGGGATGCAAAATTAGGTCTGCCAGGGATTGATATGACTTTTATCCCATTTTTTAAATACATGCAAAAATATATCTGCTATAAAGCTGCTTCCTCTGGCAGATTTATGGGCCCATTTGGGAATAATGGTGCCATATAATGATTATAAAACATTCTTATTGTTCATTACCATTACTCTACATTAATTCACTATTATCTCTTAATGCATTGGCAGTTGGAAAAAGTGGGCCCCATTGCATAAGAATATGAGCAAATTGAAGTCCAATCTCATAGAAATTATTGGTAAGAAAACATTATTGCTCATCTTCATGTGGAGACAAAAGCCTACCTCTCTCCTTGAATTTTCTGGGTACAGAGATCTCCCGATACAGCAGGAAATGTTACCATATGGAAGCAGGAGCTATGCAGGCTGTGTGCGCTCCAGGGATAGCTCACAATATGGATCCAGAGGGTTTTTTTGTGTGCTGCTGCCTATGGTAGGTTTGGGACAGCACAGGGTTGTTCAGGGGCCAGCCCACTTACAAATTCATGTATCCATTCATGTATCCTTTTGCCCCTGTGCAGTAGAAGTGGAGGCCCAGGCAAACTGCGCTACATGAAGAGCTGCCATGGCCAAAGATGATTCTATTTTCAAGGCAGGACAGGGTAGGCATATTTGTTGTGCCATGGTATGGTGGGCCTAGGTCCACCAGGAAAACTTTAAGCCTCCCTTAATTAGGGAGGCTACTGGGGACACAACTGATTCTGGGGAGCAACAAATGTGAAAATAGGGATGGGAGTGCGGGTCAAAGGTTAATAACAAAGGCTCCAAGAAGGGACACTGAGCAGAGCACACTGGCCACAGGGCAACATAGGCGGTGTGCTCCTACGCTCAAAAGAGTTTATCATCAAAGCTAGTTGTTGGATTTTCAGAGGATCTCAGCACGTCATATATTGTCTCACCAGGACTGTCCCGGTGGGTACCACTGGGTGCTGAGATGTTTTGAAAAGCTGCCAGCCCCATCAGAGAGTGCTAAGCACACAGAAATCCAGCCTCAGACTCCACAACAGTCCAGTCCTTAATTCCTAAACTGCCTCCCATTGGAAACAATTCCCGATGCTTTCAGTGGGTTTTGAATCAGGTCAATGGAGTCCAGACTCACTGCTCTTCCTTAGTTCGGTGAAGCTGTAGCCCCTCTGACTCCAGTAGTAACCACTACATCAGTGCCGTGAGTATGCCACGTCACACCTGGTTCATACCTGTGCTGTTCCTCCCTTGCCTTGCTGGACAAAAAATGTACCTGGGTTTTTACTTTAAAAGAGAACCAACTTCCATTTTCTGTCACAAAAAACCTAATCCAGGATGCCTCCCTCTGAAGTCAGAAGTGCAATTTTTTCAAATGTATCCATGCATACAGTGGCTACCAGATAGGATTTCTCATGGACAGCCGATGATAACATTTTATTGAATTGGTGCATAGATTAAACCCTCTCAGCCATGACAATTAAATGGGGAAAAATGTTCATGCCATTTACAGGGATAATATTTAATCAGAAATAGACAAGAACACGAGTCATCAGCTCACAAACAAACTCGGTCTTGATACAAATTCAGTTGAACTGGTTCCAAATGGTCACAGCACAAATGTATTGTTTTTCATGCACAGGGCAAGAACAAATGAAAGTGGAGCAGTTCAAACAAAAACCCTGGCTTTCTAAAATGTTATGGTGTCATCTTGTTTTAAGCAACCCATGTTAACAGTTTATTGGAGATGAATGTGGAAAATAATTTGCTAGTGATCTGGAAGATTAGCAGCCAAGGACTAGATTACTTCTTGTGGGCTAGGAAGGCACTGAGGAAGTGATGGGTTGTGAACACACCAGAAAGTTGTTAAAACTTGCTGGGGCTACTGTTTAGAGGGCTTGTTCCCAATCATAAATCAGAGCAGCTGGCATCTTTCTGTACCTTGCAGCAGCTGCTAACCATGCCACTGCTAGAGGCTGGTGCATGGGAGGGGTATTTTGGCCTTGCCCACTTTTTTTCCAGCCACATTCACTACTACAACAGGAGGGAAGAGGTGAAGTGGTATTTTCTATACTGGAATACATCACACAGGAGGATCTGGCTTGTGCTGGAGCAGGCTGTGCTTCCCTTGGCTAGGCATTGCAGATACAATCCAGCAATGGAGTGGTGCAAATTGGTTGCACAGCAACAGAAGACTTAGGTTTGAGTATATATTTGGCTGTCTTGCTCCCCCACCCCTGCTTGATTTTAATGGATAGGGACAAAAGTTACACATAAACTGGTTTAAGTGAGCAGAAACTGGTTTCATCCTGTAACAGAATGTAAATTCAATTCACATAAACCAGTTTCAAAATGGCTGAAGCCGCTTTGAGAGAAATCTGGTTGAATGTAGTATCAGACTTAACTGATTAAACTCAAACTGGTTTATGGAACTTCTGTCTCAGACCCCTTCCTGGTTTCACTTAAACCAGAGTTCTCCAGCATCCCAGCATGCTCTGCAGCCCTGGGTGGGGCTGTGCTCTTTGCTCCAGTGGAGTAGGGCTGACCCTGCCCCTCAGCTCCCTAGCCGGAGTAGGGGTTGGGGCAGGGCTAGATGCTGGCCCCCCCTAAGGTGAAGGGGGCAAGGAAGAGGTTTATTCCCTCCTCCCTCCCTTACCCCACCAGTATAGACCTACCAGGCATTTCTTTGCTTGCTGCTACAGTGATGGGCGTGTGGCCAGCCCCAGCAGTAGCCTTAAGTGAACTGGTTAGGGAGGAGGTTTAATTCCCCCTTCCCTGTCCCACTGGCATGGACCCTGGCAGGGGCTTGGGCATGGGCATGGCCAGATGCTGGCTGGCATGGCCCTCTGAGGCAAAGGAGGCAGGAAGGGGATTTAGTCCCCCCCCGGGGGACTCTGCCAACCCTGACTGCCACAGCCACTCATCGCTTCCCGCACAGGATGAGTAGGAGAATAAGCCTTTTCCTTGCACACTCTGCCAGATGCTTAAGGGAGGCGGGAAATAACCCCTCTCCATGTTCCCATTGCCTAAGGGGGCCATGTTGGCTGGCCTATAGCCACATCCCTGCCCCTGCCACTGGAGTGGCAAGCGGGGAGCGACTCTGTCAGGGCAACAACCCTATCATTATTTCCTGGGGCTGCAAGACTTGTCCAAGCAGGGAGGCTGCACTGTGGGGTGGGAGCAGGGCAGGCAGAGTTGCTGCAGACTGCATGGTGCGAGTGGCAGCAGCGTGCTAGTGTGGGCATGGGTGGCTATAGTTGCCCCTCTGAGTCCCGGTGCCTCTGCTTGCCCCCATTCTAGCTCGTCCCGGCTTCTGGCCTGAGCCACTGTAGGCATGTGCCTGCATTTCCTGAGTCAAGTGGGAATGTCTGTCACTTGCAAATTGGTTCAATCTAGGCAGGTTAGACTAACCTGCAAAGATTGAATCAATTCAGGTTCTGGCTTTTTGAATGTCTGTCCCTAGCCAAGATGAGCATGGAAGGTGTTTGGTTGTTCCCAGGACTCAGAGCCTCCTCTGGTGTAATTTCCTAGAGGCAGAAGGAGGGAGTGGTTCTGGGCTGTTGTGCATAGTCCTAGTCTGACCTTTTCTGTACAGAGAGATCAAAATAGTTTGCAGTGGTCTCTTGTTTATACCTCCAAAGATTGTTTTATCCTTTTAGTTTGATTATCACAGGGGGAGCTCATGCTCAGCTGATAGACTAATTTGATCCCTACATCTATTTTTTCCTAAGTGACTGCTTTCCCAGGCTCAGTCCCCCCATTTTACAGGTGTGGTTTGGGCCAAGCCATATTCCATCTGTTAAGTGAAGTGAATTTAGGACTTCTGTAATGTACTTTCATTGTTGCTTTGAGCTTAAGTCACAAAAAGCAGCAAAGCAGAGGTAGTACCCCCCCCCCTTTTTTTGCAGTAGTAGTTTTTCAGGGATTTGGAATAGGTTTGCACTTAGATGTCTAATTCCACTTAGGTATGTAGTACAATAGGATCTAGCTTTTTGTTCCTGGATGTATGTACTTACCTTTGCTTATATTGATAAGCATTTTGTATGCTTGCTCCCAATTTACCAGGTGATCCAGGTTATTCTTTAACCTGTCACTTCCCGTTTCCACAAGCTTTGCAGACTTTATCAGTAATGCTTGTATGTCAGGTCATTGATAAATACTATGAACAGCCTTGGGATAAGGACCCCTCATTGTGGGATCTCTCTAAAAATGCATTCAACTGAATGGGAAGTTGCCATTTACAAAGTTGTCACTTAGCAATTAGCTCATTTTTAATCCATTTAGCATGCTTCACATTGATCTTGTGTCATCCTAATTTCTTAATGAAAATGTCATGTACTACCAAACCAAATGCCTTATAGAAGCATAAGGGGATTACATCAACATTATTACTTTCTTCAACCAAACTTGTTATCACATCCAGGAACACTGGCAGGAGTTTTTTTTCCTTTTTGCCAAGAGTTTTTTTTTCTTGCCAAACTTGGCAAGAGTTTTTTTTCCCCCTGTAAACCCATGTTAATGGGTTATTAACTCATTTTGTTACTTGGAGTCCTGTATCAGTTATTCCATTGTTTTGCCTTGGATTTGTGTCAGGGACCCTGGCCAGGCAGGCCAGCCATACCTGCAGTAAGTCACAAGCCTACAGACTCTGCCCCAATTTTGGAAGAGCAAACATCCTGATTAGCTGTTGGAAGTGCTGCCTGTCCATTTAGACTCAGCTGAGGCCATTGGACTCCAGGTCAGTCAACAGTTTTTGACTCAGTCTGCTGTTGCCAGGCTCTGGATTCCTGCTCTCTCTGGTTTTCCTGGTTCCTGACTGGCCTCAAATATCCCCTGCAGATTTGTTTTCTGGTTCCTTTGCTCAGTGCTCATTGTGCACCTGTGACTTACCCTTCAGACTTTGTACCTTTGCTGTTGATTTTTCTAGATCTTGACCCCTGGTGTGACTTGTTGCTCAGACTTCACCCTGTGGACTGCCCCTCAACTGTGGTAACTTGGTTGCTGGTGTTTCGGACTCTGACCCTGACCTGTCATAGACCTACTCCAGTTTTTTCCTCCTGATCTGGTAATTAGCCTCTGGACCCTCAAACCTCCCTCAGAGACCTGATTCTTCCATCAGACCACCCATGACCTGGTCCCCAAACACAAGTTGAGAATCCTGTAGTTACCCAAGCTATTCCTTTTGTCCTTTTTAAATATTGATGCGGTGGGCACATCTACACTGTGTTAGATGGCTAGGGAGCCTGTTGCCCAGTTACTCTTGTTTTGCACATGCCAAATGCTGAAAAAATGTCCCATACCAGGTATCGTAAGCAGCACAGGGACTGAGGGCAGTGCAGGCATGCCTTTGATACATACTAAAAAGGCACTCCATGATATTTTTTTGGCATTCATTACTCACAGAGTTGGAATGATTGGATAGGGTGGGGTATGTTTTCATGGACACGCTTCCTAGCATGGTGTAAGGTGGCACAGAGATGCCTATTAATTTCCTTCTGGTTCTCTGGTATGTGTCTGTGTTGTGAGAAGTATTAAAAATCATCAATAATGGTCCCAAGAGTTCTGTGAGTGTCTCTTTGGAGATTCTGGGATGCAGTGTCTGGATCTGCTGAATTAAAAATGTCATGGTAACTGAATTGGTTCATCTAATTTGAGGAGAGGGAAACACTTGTTCGAACTTCCTAAAAATTGAAATCTGGGACAAACTGTGTCCATCAGATTCCTGTGTGTATCTGATAATGAGACTAAAATCAGCAACTGTCCAAAAAGGAAGATAAGAAATATGAATTTGCACCTTCAGAGAGACTCCATATACAGAAGATTTACACATCTGCTGCTTGGTGTATGAGAACAAGCTCAATGGCTATGTTAATTAATCAATAGCACAAAAGGCAACTTATGAACAAGTAAATAATATGCTTATAGTCAGTACTCCATTACCATGCATGGCACTAGCTACAGTGTTCACAGAGCAGCAGCGTTGCAGTATTATTTATAAGGTCCTACAGCATCCTACCTAGCAAGTGATGCATTTTTAAAAGTACAGTAGGTGAAATCTAGGGCAGTTTAATTTGGTGAATTTAATCTTGAATCAAACACAGGGGAGAAAAAAAGCATTCCTCCAGGAGAGGAAACTATTTCCACATTGATTAATATCACTGTTAATGATTGTTTCCCACAGGCTCCCATAATGCAGGAAACCTCCTCTAATTTCCTGATGGCACATAAAAGGAGCTTTGTTCAAAGACTGAGAGTGCTGAACTCGAACCTCTATGCTTTTGGAGCCTGAGCACCGTGAGGAAATGGTAAGCAAAGCAGTCTCTAGCCAGTGTGGGAGAAGCTCCTGTCTTTCAAAGTTCAGCTATAATTATCTGTGTAGCTCCAATGGAGCTATCCCAATTTATACCAGCTGAGAAACGGGTCAGGTTTGGAGCACTTCTCACCACTATATTAACATTTTAATGAGATACCAGTCAACTTGAAATGATGAAACTAGTCAAAATGCTATGTGGGTAAAGAAAACAATGAGACCAGTGGGGAAAAAATCCCCAAAGTGTGTGTTTTTTAAATTACAGGAAAAATAGGTTGAGACCTTCAACTACTTTTCCGGAAAAAAAAAAATAGTTTGCAAAAGCTCCAAACTCATGTGGCTCTTACATTATTGCTGTCCTTCAGAACAGTGACAGTCAAGATGGAGGAAGGAGCATTTCCTCAGTTGACTTTTATTACCTTGCGCTGAATGGTAAAACAACCTATGCCAGGGGCGGGCAAAATATGGCCCATGGACCAGATTCAGCCCATGGAGGGGCTTTGTCCAGCCTGCAGCGGGTCCTTTGGTTCTGCCTGGCCCAGGCACCACCCAGCTGTGGCACGTCCTGCCACCCCCTGGGCACGCAGTGGGGCTGGGGTGCCTCCTTCGGGCTGCTGCCACTGCTGGCACCAGCACCGCGGTACCAGCGGGGACCCACGCATGTGACCCCAACCTGGCATGCCCCATGCCTGCTCTTAACTCGCCCATCCAGGCTCAGCAGTGGCAGTAGTGGCAGGCAAAAAGTGTTGCTCAGCACAGGGGGAAAAGTGGCTCCTCCTGCTCTGCACTGACACTGCTGCCGCGCTGGGCAGCCCAGAGGCAGTGGTGATGCAGGTAGCCTGGCATGGTGCAGGCTCCAGGCAACTGCACCAAGAACTGCCCAGCAGAGGCGACGGTGAAGGGCTGCTTTTACCTCATGCCGAGCAACAGTTTTTGCCAGGTGCTGCTGCTGCTGAGCCTAGATGGGCAAGTCTGGAGCAGGCGTGGTGTGCACTGGATTGGGGCTGTGTGTGTGGGTCCCTACTGGTACCATGTGGCTGGAATCAGTGGTAGCGGCAGCCAGAAGGAGCCACCCCAGCCCCACTGCCTGCCTGGGGTGGCAGGACACGCCATGGCCAGGCAGTACGGAGCAGGCACAGGGTGGGCTGGGGCTGTGCGCTGTTGGCAGTGATAGGGAGGTGCCATGGGGCATGAGGGCTCCAGGCTGTTGTTGGATGGAGGCTGGTGCTGACCATCTCAGGGGGTCGCATGTGGGGGGCTCCCCTTCACACTCCACCATACCCTCAAACCCTTCCCCACACACAATCACACACCGCACCCACCCACACCCTGTCCCACAGGACCCCACCACCCCTCTCCCCACACACACCCTTGTGCCTCTGGGGGGGTCCCACTGACTGCTACATGCACACACCCCCACCACACGCATGCACCCCCCCAGCCACCCTCAGTGCAGGAGATACTGTTCACTTTCTTTATTGCATAGTAAGAAGCCTCATTTCCAGCAAAGAACAGCAGATATGGGCCTAGAGTGCTTGATTAAGATATAGAAGTACTGAGTGCCAGTTCCTGTTTTGCCACAGACCTCTGCTGTGACCTTGGGCAACTCACTTCTTCTTTCTGTGTCTTGCTTCCTCACCTAGATAATGGCAATAATAATACTTCCTGTGCAGTACGGTAACAGTGGGGAGGGGGAGTGCAGGGGGTGCCATGTAAGGCACTTGGTTCAGGTGCTGATTTAGATGGCGCACCAGAATGCCCCGGGCATTTTTGCTATAGCAGGCCCAGCCATAGAGGCTGGGAAGCCCTGTGCCCAGGCATGTATGGGGTGGAGGGGTTAAGCAGGATGGTATCCCCTTTGGGATTTTGCCACAGGAGATGCAACTTCCCACCCCGTGGTACGTGTGTTGGTTCAGGAGGGAAAGTGAACAAAGCACTAGGGGTAGCCTCTGGGGAGCCTGCTGAATGCTGCATACTAGCAGCTCTTATGGGGAGGCTGTATAATAACCTTGCTGGTCTGACAGCTGGAAACCTTTTTCTTAGTTCTAGTTTATATTTATTCCCGCTGCCAGTACCCATTTGTTTTAAGCCAGCACTGTTCACTGTTCTTTTGCTTATGCGGCCTTCCCCAACATGTATCTGGATAAAGCCATCATGTCCCCTCTCAGCTCTCGCTTCGCTAAGCTAATGCTTAGTCGTCTCTCATAGAATAGGCCCTCCATTCCTTTGGACATCCTAGTAGCTCTCTTCTATACCTAAACTCAGCAGCACGGAGCTCAATACAGATTGAGCTATCCAAAAAAAGCTGGGTAAATCTGCAGGTAATCAGTTGGCACTCCACCAGGTGCCACCTTTTTTGCAAGGTGTCCTCTCTCAGCGTCTTATTGTCACATAATAGTTTTGCTAGCCAAAATAAGGTGTTAAGTAATACATTTAAAGGAATGAGAGCTCCCTCATGCATCTCCATCCCATCACTGTTGATGCTGAATTTAAGATGATTCAGCAATCAAATATATAATTTGTTCTAAATATTTCATTTATGCCTCAACATATGCACGTTCTCTTGTGATCTAAATTACCAACTTCACCAGTGTGCCATCCTTGAGGGCTGTATAGTACCCAAAGGAGAGCGGGGTACGGCTATGGCCTTGAAGTTAATCATTCTCTCTGGAATTAAACAAATTCTACTTAATGCAGGGGCATCTGCAGAACAGGCAATATTCTGTAATATGATTGGCTTTCACCAGCTGCCAGGTTGGCACGTTTATTGGAGAAGGGTTGGAAAGAAGAAAGCCTGGATTGGAGGTTGAGCAGTATGTACAAGTGAAATGGAAATAAATACACTTTAAAAAGGCAAAGCACAGTCAGGGTACTTCAGTCACCTCCTCATGGGATAGACTCACAGGGTGTGTCCCCATGGGTGGGAATGTGCATTTCCCTGGGGACAAACAGCAGTGGCCCCAGCTGTGGACTGCAGCCATGGCAGTCCGCCAGCACAGAGCCTGGCTGGCAGCTAGAGTGTGGCATTGGCCGGCCGGGCTCTGGTTTCTGGTAAAGCATGCTGCTGCCATATACGCAGCCCCACTTTTTTAAGGTGTGGGGTTTTTTGAAACCAGGATCTCTGTGTCAAAACCATCCCACAGTGCCACAAATTAGCAGTGCAAGGAATGCCTGCACGTGCAGTGTGCAGCACCACAGATGGGTTTGTGGCACTGCATATCATACATCCATGCTCATCTGGATGTGCCCGCAGTTTCCTGTTACTTCACACATGCTTAGGAGCAGAGTAATCTACACTGTTCTTGTGGATAATGCTGATGAGTTATAGTCCTGCAAAGGGCAAGAGAGTTGAGAGTTGGTTTCCATCCCTATTGTCCATGGCATTTCCTCCCATGGAAGATTTCAAATGCACACAATTCCCATCTCATGTTTGAGATATCAGGTACTGTTGGTAGCTGTGTAGCACAGTCCCTGGCATACTGTGGTGCAGTTAATGCCTTGTGGGGTGGCATGCTATCACTGGGGAGTGATAAGTGTGGAGCTGAAGCTCTGTTACCTTTTATTGCAATCCTCCAAAACAGCCTCTAACCTGTCATCCTCAAAGCTTGTTCTCATGGTAAACGGCTAGCTCTGACTCCCTTCTCCTGCTTAACCCTTCCCTTTCCACTTTTAGGGGCTGTGTAGTAGAAAGGGGCAGGTCACACTGGGGAAGCGCCCAAGGAAATCTTATTGCCTCAATACATTTAGGCACAATTTAGAGACTAAGATAAGGTGACATCTTTTTTGGAAACCAGGTTAATTTTTTTGTTTGGTTCATAGACTCTTCTTAGCATCCAATTCACTTTGGATAACTGGGATGTAGAAGTGAAGCAAAGCAATGGAGAATCAGGCCCTCTTTTTATGGCACATTAAATTACTTGTCCTGTTGTGGTCCAAGTAGAATTTCACTGGTGGCATCTGAAGCACTGTGGCGTTAGCTGGTGTGGGAGGACTGCTTGGATGTCAGGTCTCCTGCTGAGAGTAAGAAGTGCTTTATTTCCCCTGTAATATTAGTAGAGTGTCAGGGGTATGTGAAGTATTGCTTGGGCCCCAGTCTGTTTGACATTTTACCTTGCATCAGATCTTAATCATGAGACCTTGGCGCTCTCTCTCCTGACTGCCTTCCACTTTAGGAGTTCTCACCTGCCAAGACTTGATGTTTTCAAAAACTGGGGAGGATCTCATCACATCCAAAGAGCTATGCCAGTTCCATGCGATGGGGCGAGGGGTTTGTTGTGGGGCTTCTTCCTCCCCTGTACCTTACGCTTACCACCACTAGCAGCTGTCTGGCTTGAGTTCCACCTACTCTGAATGGCAGAAAAACATCAGCCTACTTTGTTATAATATTCAGGGAGTGCCTCCCATGAAGCCCTTTAATCCCCCTTAAATGTCCATCACCATAAAAGAAAAAGCAAGAAGAAAAATACTGGGCCCAGTTAAGCCCATCTCTAAAGGGAATCACAGACAGTCTTTTTAAGAAGGGGGAAACCTCTCACAGTACCTTCCTGTGGCCACTCCTCTGGTGGCTCTCTTCAGCTTCCCGGACGTTGCTCTGTGCCCTCACTGGCCATGCTTCCTTTAGCAGTGATCCTCTGATCACCTGCCTTTCCTTCCAAATGCCTCTGCTCCATCCCTCTCAGCTGACAGGTACTGGCTGTAGAACTATTCCGGTGTCCTGACCCCAGTGTCACCGGAAGCTCTCCCTGGCTGCCCCTCTCCAGGGCTGGAAGTACTTGCCTGGTCTCTCTGCAGGCCAGTCATCAAGAAGCACTCTCTCTGAAAATGTGGTTCACTGCTTGGTGCCTCCCTGCATGCTTGCCTTCTTCCTGGGGTACGCATAGAGGGCTTACTCTCCCTTTCAGGGTGTTCACCCCAGTCCCCAATCTTACTCCACCACACATCCTCTTAAGATGCCATTAGGCACTCTTTCTGATAATAAGGGACATACCTTTCTCAACTTCTGCTGTGTCTACTTGAATCGTAGGATTCTTCTTCATGGTGACATCGAGATAAGAAATCTGCTACCACATTTTCCTTTCTGGCCTATATTCAATGGAAAACTGGAATGGTTGTAATGCTAGTGCCCATCTCATGATATGAGCATTGACTGTCTTAGTAGATCTTAACCATTTTAACAGGGCATGATCCATGACTAACTTAAACTCCTACCCTAAGAGATAATACCAAAAATACTCCACTCCCCACTTGATAGCTAGGCACTCCCGTTCTACCATTGCATATCTTTTCTCGTGTTCATTCAATTTCCTACTTGCATAGGTGATGGGTCTCTCCATTCCCTCTACCATCTATAAGAGGATTGCCCCTATGGCCTCAGCCGAGGTGTCCATCTGTAGAACAAAAGGCTCATTAAATTTGGGGGTGCGCAGCATGACATATTGACACAGTGCTAATTTAACTGCCTTGAATGCTTCTTGATGTGTGGGGTTCCATTCAGTGGAGCCGCTCCCCATTTCTCATGTGGTGTTTGTCAATGAACCTGTTATATCTGCAAACCAGGGGGATAAATTTGAGGTAGTAACTTGCTAACCCCAGGAAAGTCAGCATTTCTTTTTTGTTTCTCGGAGGGGAAAAATTCTTGATGATTTCTACCTTGTCAGCCAATGGTCTTTTTTGGCCTTATCCCACCAAGAAGCCTAGATATTTGGCTTCTGCCAAACCCCAGAGTGCATTTCCTAGGGTTAACTGTCAACCCTGCCTGCTAAAGCTCTTGCAGGACTGCTGTCACTGCTTGTATATGCTGTTTCCACCTTTCTGTATCCACCATGATATCATTGATGTAGGCTGCTGCACATCTGTGATTAGGAGCCAGGATTCAATCCATTAAACACTGAAAGGTGGCCACTGTGCTATTGAGGCTGAAGGGCATCCTCTTCAATTGAAAAAAACCCCACGGCATCCCAAAAGCTGTTTTGGCCTGGCCTTCCTCCCTCAGGGGGATCTGCCAGTACCCTTTAGTTAGGTCAAATGTGGAAATATATTGGGTCTGACCTATCCTTTCTAACAGCTCACCCACTTGGGGCATCAAAAAACATCAAACTATGCAATAGAATTCAGTTTCTAGAAATCTATGCATAGACAGAGTGTTCCATCTCCCTTTGGTACCGTGACAATTGGGCACCATCATGGGCTATGGGACTCCATGAAAACCCCATGCCGGAATATTCTATTTAATTTTTCCTTAACTGGCTGGTATTTATGGTAGGGTATTTGTTTCCATTGCTCTTGTACTACTTTCTTCTTCGGGGTGAGGATTTTATGCACAATCCCCTGAGCCTTTCCAGGGACCTCATTAAAAACATCCTCAAAATCCTTCACCACCTGTTGTAGCTGTCCCCACTGCTCTGAGGATAACCCCTTTTCCTCCCTGAGCAGGTTAACAGGATAAATATGCTTTACCTTTTTGTGTCCAGGCCAGAGGACTGCATAATCTACCAGACCGGCACGCCACACCACTTTGCATGGGCCCTGCCAACATGCGAGGAACTTACTTGTAGAGCTTTGCAGAAGAACTAGGACATGCTGCCCTACCTGGAACTCGCATTCCCTTGTTTTATTTTGTTGTACTGTTCTTTCTGGTTCTTTTGAGCATTTTCTAAGTTACCGGCTGCCACTCTATTGGCAGTTCTCAGTCTTTCTCTACATAACCTCTACATAACGGGAGTGTGCTGTCCCTTTCCCCTCTGTCCCATCCCTCACAAACTATGTCCAATAAGCTCCTCGGGGAATGCTGGGTTACCAAGGGATGAGTGAATCTTCACCACATTAAGTGATAGCCTTCTAAAGCCAACGATTTAATTTTTTTGTGAATGGCTCAGCTGGTGACATTACTTGGATAGATTTCCAATTTAAGTGAAGCAATCTTCGTAGAAAAGAATGAACTGGAGAAAGCCTTCCAGATTGTTAACATTTTAATGGCAAAATAGGGTCTGTCCGTCCCCCCACTCCAACTGTGGTATGGAAACATGCACAAGGGATTCAACTCTGTTATGTTAAATGAAGTGTTTTAAGTTGCCACAAATGTAAAAATGAAATGGGGCCTTGTTTGTATTAACTGAACCAATTTTTTCTAGTAAAGAAATTGATAGGATTGTATAAATGTAACCGAAAGCAGAAAATCTGGCCTCAGACGGGGAGCATTATAGGCTGAGGGTTTGGCTGGGAAGGGTTTCTGTTTATAAATGAGAATCTTAGTACTGTCAATGCCAGTCATTCTAAAAACATGACTCAAGCTCCCCCTATTCCCCCAAATCATGAGGTTGCTTTGAAAACATAATATTAAAAATAGTAAAATGCTGGGTTCTTTTTATTTTCTTTGTGGTTTCTGAACCCTTAGGGAGCACTATATTTGTACTTTTCCTGGCATCTATGAGAACTAGCTATATACTTTCTTTTTTTGTAATGACAGATGAGATTCTTACATATTCAAATGATTCCAAGTGCTGATGCCATAAGAAAAAAACACAAAATACCACAAGATTTGCAGTAATATCATAGGAGTTAGGAGCACACAAAATGCCTTGATGTTGCATTTTAATTGATTTTTATATTTCCTTTTATGGATTTTCTTCTATGATAAAGTGACAGGCTCTGTGGATGGGGAAGACAAGTGGATGTGATGCACCTTGAATTTAGCAAGACTTTTAACAATGTATTCCACAACATTCTCATTAACAAGTTAAGGCAGGGCTGTCCAACTGGTAGCCTATGGGCCATATGTAGTCCTCAAAGAGTTAGTGTGTGACCCTTGGGCTCCCACCTGACTGCCATCACCACCCGCTCTCCTGCCACAGCAACTAGGTTCTTTGGGCTCCCTTGCCCTCCTCCAGCTTTTGCTTTGTGTCCCCACTCCTGGGGTGGTGCAACAGGGAAGGGAGCCAGCCTATTTGTACAACATGTGCAGCTGGGAGAGGGGTAGTGCCAGCCTTCTTGAACTGTTCATGTGGCAGGGGGGTCTGATAGGCTGCCTGTGCAACAGGAGAGAGCCCAAGGGCGGAGAGTACTCCCATGGTTAGTAGCCCTTGGGCTGCAGCCCACGCCAGTTATGACCCTTGGGACAGTGACCCATGCAGCCTGTGTCCCCTGGCTGGTCCAGGGTTGGACTGTCCTGAGCTAATGAAATACAGGCTAGGTGAAAATTCTGCAAAGTTGGATCCAAGGGGTTGGATCTTTGTGCTTAATGAGTAGTCATCAACAGTTCAATGTGCAGTTAGGAGGAGGTATCAAGTGGGGTCCCACAGGGAAAGTCCTACTGCCTTCAACCTGGTTGAATGGAGTATCAGACTTAACTGATTTGGGTCAAACCAGTTTATGAAATGTCTGTCCCAGATCCCTTCCTGGTTTAAGTTAAACCAGAGTCCCCCACTACTGGGACCTCTGTACTGTCTGCTCCAGAGAACAGGGCTGGCCCTGCCCCCCTGCTCCCGAGCCAGAGCTCTGGTGGAGATTGCAGGTGCAGCAGATTCTGCCTGGCTTCCCCCTGCACCATGCCACCCTGCTCAAGCAGGGATCTCTCCCTCCCTCCCACCTCCCACAGCACGGACCCCAGCCTCATGGACCCTAGGCATGTGGTATGCTAGCTAATGCTGAAAGGTATCTCTGTGTGTGTTGTGTGTGTGCGTGTCTCCAATTTCACTGGGACAGGACAAAGGCAGACAGGACAGTGTCTGCTTAGGGCTTTTTGGAGGTAATCAACAGGTCAGCTGGTAATGTCCCTCCATTCCTTCCTTGGAAAAAGCTGGTTAAGAAGAGCTTGAACTAATGAGAGGGGCTTTTGTTTTGTTGATGGACTGATAAACACTGTTATCAGCTTCCTGCTGCCTCCTTCACCTGTCAGGTTTGCTGCAGACAGTATGAAGAAGCAGAGAGAGGGAGATTGAAAAGCTCAGTATCATCAATAGATGCATGTACCGCACCCCCCACACCTTTGCCTCAGATTGTTAGCCTGGGGCTGGGCTCTGGCAACACTCCCGCCCCTTGAGCAGTGAGTGGGGAAAAGCCTGGGATGGTGCAGGCAGATCTCCCTAATCAGAGCATCCTGCTGGAGCCTGGCCTCACCCCTGCCTCAGCTCAGCACAGCACAGCACAGTCGAAGAGAAGGGAGGGCTGCTCTAGCACCCCCCGGCTTTTAGCCTGAGCCACTGCAGGCATGTGCCTGCATTTCTTCAGCCCAGAGGGAATGTCTGTTAGGCCTGTGCAAATAGGGAACTATTCAATTCAGATTTGGATTTGCCCGATTTGGATACCGGCAATTCAATTCAGAGATTTGATTTGCGTTTCTGATTTGATTCGGCCGAATTGGCTTCAGAAGATTTGGAACCGATTTGGAGAGATTTGGAGATTCAGCCATAGAGTGTAATGGGGAATCAATGCAATATTTATAACTTCATTTTTTTGCTATGTGGATCAGACTTGCAGGGGTGGTATCCTCTGCAGAGAGCATGAAGCCTGCCAAGTTTCAAGGAGTTGGTATAGGGATTTCTGGGAAACTGCACCTCAAAGTCCTGAAAGCAAAACTAATGTCACGTGTGTGTGTGTGTGTTAAGCCACAGTGGGGAGAAAACTGCATGGGATGGTAGCTTCTGCTGAGGCCACAAAATCTGCCAAGTTTCAAGGAGATAGGTGCAGGGGTTTCTGGGAAACTGCACCTCCAACTGCTGACAAGCATAACTTGTGACATAGGTGACACCGTGTGTGGGTTAAGGCACAGGGGGGTAAAAACTGCAGGCCTGCTGGGCTGTGCTGTGGCCACAAAGCCTGCCAGCTGTCAAGGAGATAAGTGCAGGGGAAGTCTGGGTTCTGGGGCCCTGCACCTCTGGCTGCTGACAGGCAAAACTCATGACATGGGTGCTTGTACAAATGTGTCTGTCTTGGGGCATGTGTCTCACCCCCTGACACCTCCATTTCCATTTTCACTGATTGGATCTCTTGGGTGCATTGGGGGCCAGGCCAGCCTCTGGCTTCTTTACTATTCCTTCCATCCAGGACCAGGAGACACACCAACTGCAGGTACTTCCTCAGCTTGACAAAGGGTTTTTCAACACAAAAGCTGGCATCCCGGGCAGTTAAGATGAGCTCACCAGGAGCCTCACAACTGCACTGCAACCAGCATGCCTCAGGCCTGTCAAAGATGTGACAGGTCTGGGCTTTCCTCAGCCAGGACTGTATGTGTGCGTGCATTAGCTGGAGGTTATAGAGCCTCCTACCTGCCTTTCACCAGGGGTCCTGGCCTTTACGGGGTTGCCACACCACCAGCAGTCCCATCAGGCCTCCCTACCCTGGCAGGGTGCAGTTTTAGTGGTCATGCCCGGGACCTGTGTTCTCCTCCTTTCCCATAGCCCCAGCCCATACTTCCAAGTTTGTCCTGGCAGGGGAGCAAGCTCTGCAGGCACATGTTCTTCCCCTGTTGTCTGGTGATGCAGTGAGTACCCCCTCCAGCTGAGAGTGGGGCATTACCTGGTTTTTAAAAAAAAAATGAAAAAAAGAAATCAGTGGAGACAGAGTGAGGAGGGTGGCACTCACTTGGTCTGCAGGTAGAGCTTGGGTAACCCCTGCAGTGGGAGGTTCACCTGCAAGAACACTAGCTGCTCCACATGGTTCATGGCCCCCATGATCTCCCTTGCTGTGTGGGATTCATTCAGCACCTAGGCTTGAAGGAGTGTCCACCAATGGCCTGACTGATCACACCAGTGCCCTGTGAGGGAGAGGTAGGCGTGATCACCACCCTGGCTGCTCCGGATGTCCAAGGTGAAGGGCAAGGCTACCTGTGGCCCTGCCTTACGCAGCTCTTCTCTCAAGTACTCCCTGCATGCCTCATACAGGGATGGTACCACTGTCCTGCTAAAGATTACCATCTTGGTAAGATGGGGCCAAAAATGCCATGAGCTGCCTGAACCCTGGTTGCTCAACTAGGGAGAAGGGCTGGCTATCCAGACCAAGCGTCTCCCCAGTGCTGTGGGTGATCTTGCTCGCCTTTGCAACTCAGCCTCTCCACCTTTCCCACACTGTTTCAGGGTGGGCTGCCTCTTCTTTTGGGGGGACAGGGGCTTTGGAGCGAGTGGGGGACTTCCCTTTGGGCATGCTCGCACTGGTGCCAGGCTGAACAGGAAGGATGGCTAGCAGATGCTGCCTCCTGAGATGCAGCAGCATTGCTGTGGTGGTGAAGTGTTTAATTTCCTTGCCCCGACTGATCTGCCTTTAGCAGTGCTGGCAGATAGCAAACCTGGGATCATCTGCCAGCTCAGAATGCTCTCACACTACGCTACTCACCCACTTGTGTTGAGGGTGAGGATGCTGCCTTATCCCACTCCTTAGCAGGCTGAGGCACAACAGCAGGAGGAGCTGGCTCCGCTGAG